GAAGGAAGGAAGGAAGGAAGGAAGGAAGGAAGGAAGGAAGGAAGGAAAACTGTATGGAGGATCTACACTCAGCAGGCCACCTCTAACACAACAACCCAACCACAAATTTGTTTTAACTAATAAAGATTTCTAATAATTAAAAGCATTTGGACCACAGGATATTTCATTTTCTAGATCAATATTTCTAAAACTAAATTTATCATAGTATTTTGGGGTTTGAAATTCATTGATGAAACCTATAAATGTTCAGTCCAGTTCAACTCTCCCTGATCTGGTGTTTTCTTGGCAAACATACTGGACTGGTTTGCTATTTCCTTCTCCTGCTCATTTTACAGATGAGGAACTGAGGCAAACAGGGTGAAGTGACTTGCCCAGGGTCCCACAGCTAGTAAGTGTCTGAGGCCAGACTTAAACTCAGGTCTTCCTGACTCCAGGCCCAATGCTCTATCCATTATTAAACAGCTACTGGCCTAAGTGCTGGGGATACAAAAAAAGGCAAAGGATAACCCCCGCCTTCAAGGAAGTTTTGCAAGAAAATAGAAGTCAATATTAAGTCAATTTGCATACCAAAAATTGGCTACACATAAAAGATCTGGGGGTTGAGTAAACAGTGTGATATGGCACCCAAAAATGTGAGGGTGATCTGCATTAAGAAAGGCTTGGTTTCTAGGGATTAAGAGGCGATAGTCCTCTGGTCAGACCATATCTGTCATACTGTCAGTTCATCAACAAGCATTGATTAACAAGTACCTTCTATGTGCCAGGCACTGTGAGAAGTACTTGGGGATACAAAGAAAGATAAAAGACAGCCCCTGCCCTCAAGGAGCTTACAACCTAATGGGGGAGACAACACGCAAACAGCTAAGTACAAACAAGATAAGTTAGAGATAATCAATGGAGAGGGAAGATAGATTTCTTGTCACCATATTCAAGAATAGCTTTGGTATGTTAGAGAATATCCAAAGGAGGGCATCCACCATCTAGTTTGGCGAAGGTTCTTGAGTTCATTACATATGAGAACCAGTTGAAGGAACTAAGGATATAGAAAGCCTAAAGAAAAGTCTTAGGGAATACAAATCTTCAAAGGGGCTGTGGTATGGAAGAGGGATTAGATTTGTTCTTTTTATCCCCAGAGAGAAGAACTAGGAATAATGAGTAGAATTTAGAAAGAGATCAGTCCAGACATGGTGTCAGGAAAAACTTCCTAACAATTAGATATGTCTAAAAGGGGAACAGTCTGCCTTAAGAGTGAATAGGAAGGGTTTCCTGCTTTGGTATTGGAAAGGGGCAGTCTATTGATTTCTCTTTGGTTTGGTTAGAAGAAAAATGAATCATGTGTGTGAGGGGTTGTCTCACCCAGCAATAGATCTCACAGTCCCTCTGGATGAAGGACTGGGGAAACACGTCCTAAGGTACCAAGGCTAACCACATGTCTCCCTTCAAGATACAAGTCTATCCACCACTTTTCTCTGTCTTTTATCCCAGAATTTTCCATGACCCGATCTAATTATTGGACACAATCACAACCTCCAGAGTTATTCCCCAACAGCCACTGCTATATATTCTGAGATTTTTGTGTCTCACAAGATGAGTTGCAAAGAGCTGATGAGAGTTTGAGAAACCCAACTATCCCAAAGCTGACATTACTAAGCATTAAGTTCTTGTGATTATTATTTCTTCCAGATATGATGGTAATAAATTCGTTGAAGAAGTTAAAGCAAATTTTATTGTCTGGGAGATAAACGGAAGAAAAGATTTTGGCTATACCTTATCCATGTCTGATGTAAGTAATTTTTTTTTCATTTGCATGGCATTTAGCTATATAGTTTGACTAGGTCTTTCCCTTTGAAGTTTATAACATTTTCTGAACAGGGATGGTGGCACATGCCCGTAATCTCTGCTAACCAGAAAATTGAGGTTGGTAGATCACTTGAGCTGAAGAGTTCTGAGGTATAGTGAGAGAAGCCAATTGGCTGCCCGCACCAAGTTTGGCGTCATTGTAGAGAGCCCCTAGGAACAGGGAGCTATAAGGTTGCATGAGGGGCAAACCAGTCAAGTTGGACACAGAGGAGGTCAAAAGTGCTTTGCTAATCAGCAGTGGATAGAGCCTGTGAGTAGCCCCTTCTGCTTCCATCCTGGTAAGTGTGAGAGATCCAGTCTTTGCAGGAAAAAAAAAAATCCTCTTCTAAGAAAAAGTAGAACTAAGCAATTTGACGGTGAGGAAAGGAACCAGATTTCCCTACAGCAAAGTTTCTGCTATAGGGAAAAAGTAAGGTTTTTATTAGACTTATCAGTCTATTAATTAAATCTGCCAGCTCAGAAACAATAGTGATATCTTCACTCTGCTGTCAGAAACTTTGAGTTCTAGAGCTTTTATTGAATAAGATTGTTGTGACCTTTATCTTGCAAACAAGCAAGTGATATGATTGTCTTATGTTAAGTTCCGTCTGAATTCTCACTTAATATGACAAACTTCTAGAATTTCTGTTAAGTTCCACATGGATTTTGTGTCTGCTTTGGCACGATATATGATAAGTTATTTCTGCTACCACATTGTCAAAATGTCCAATAGACAGAATCTAATATTTCATGTTTAAAATTTACTCAGATAACAGTTGCCAGATTTATGTTTGGAATTATGTAAGGTGGTTTGGGAAAGAACGGGTTTAGGCTAGACTAAATGAGCTGTTAATGATAAACAAACCCATTGACTAATTTACATTTAATATCTACCAGATGCAGAAAATGGAAATAGGATTATCATGAATACCTTATGATCTTTATATCAAATTTCTCTGACAAGGGTTTGGTATCTAAGACATGGAAACAATTAACAGAAATTTACAAGTTCAAAAGCCATCCCCAGTAGACAAATGATCAAAGGATAGGAACAAACAGTTTTCCCAAAAACAATTGTGAACTATAAATAATCACAAATCACTAATAATAAGAGAAATACACATCAAAACAACCCTCAGGTTTTACCTCACAACCTGCAAATTGACAAAGATGACAAAAGAGAGGAAAAGTTAATGTTGGAGGGGTTGTGGGAATATAGGCACACTAATTCATTGTTAGCAGAGCTGTGAATCAGTACAGCCATTTTGGAAATCAATTTGGAATTATGCAAATAAAATGTCCATACCTTTTGACTCAAGATACCTTTACTCTACTTATACTCCAAGGAGGCCTTTGAATAGAAGAAAGTCCCTATACACACCCAAATTTTTATAACAACACTTTTTGTGATACCAAAGAATCAGAAGTAGTTGCTCATTGATTGGAGAATAGCTAAACAAATTATAGTGTACAAGTATAATGCAATATTACTGTGCTGCAAGAAATTATGGATGTGAATACATAGAGGCATGGAATATCTATGTATACTGATGCAGAGTGAAGTCAACAGAACCAAGAAAACAATACATGCAATGATTACAGCAATGTAAATGGAAATCATGATCACAAAAAACATTTAAAAATGAATGTTGCAAAATGATAAAGAACAAGCACAGCTCAAAAGAAGTGATATGAGGCAGCTGGCGGCACAGTGGATAGAATGCTGGACCTGGAGTCAGGAAGACCTGAATTCATATCTGGCCTCAGACACTTATTAGCTATATGACACTGAATAAACCAGTCAAACCTTTGTTTCTTCAACTGTAAAATGGGTATAATAAGGCTTCTTGAGAAAATAAAATGAGGGGGCAGCTAGGTGGCCCAGTGGATAGAGCACTGGCCCTGAAGTCAGGAGGACCTGATTTCAAATCCAGCCTCAGACCAAACACTTGACACTTACTAGGTGTGTGACTCTGGGCAAGTCACTTAACCCCAATTACCTAAATAAATAAATAAATAAATAAAAATAAAATGAGATAATATTTGTAAAGTGCTTAACAAATGGCTGGTATTGAGCAGACAAGTGCTAAATGTTTAATAAATGTTTGTTCCCTTACCCACCCCCTCTCCAAAGGCCTGGGAGCAGTCATCTTCCTGAAAAACAATGTACATTGAAAGCCTATTGTATCTTTCAGTAGATAACTTACTGACACAGACCCATCTCATACACAAATTGTGGTGCTTAACTTGAAAGTCAACTTCCACTCACTCACAAACACTAACATCATGTTTGTGAAGCATCAGGTAGGCATGGATACCAAACCTATTCTGGCTGGTGCTAAATCAGATGTGCCAATCAAAGACAAATAGGAGGACCAAACAGCATCAAGTTTAGCACATGCTGACCAGGGAAGGCTAATGTGACTGCAGATACCCTGTCTCGTAAGTCACATGAGTCCAGAGCCAGGGCGACATCCACAGAAAGGATGAGGGCAATCCCTCTCCTTCAGGCTTCTGTCATGTGAAAGTGAAGCTGAAAGTCTGGAACTTCTACCAGGAAGAGGGCCATCAGTGGAGAGACACTGATAACACTGTGTTACATCAAACCAGTCTTTGATGCCTCTGTAAGCCTTGGCTGCCCTTGAATGGGTGATGGTGGGAGTAACTGCATGATGAACAGCTACAAAATGTGCTCTGAGACTGTAAGGGAGGGTGTGACTTCCACCCTCCCTTATATATGTTTCCTTCCACTGATGGTACCCTTTTATTGAGAGAATGATGAAAGTTGGGACTATGCGGCGGATTATGATACTGGTCAGTAAATATCGACAATACATGAGATTACCATTGGTGCTTGGCAAGGCATTTCACTCTGCAGTCATGAAAGCACCACAGGTTGATTTGAGACATTTAGGTTAATAAAAAAAAAAAACCTTAGAGCTGATATGAAATTGATTCTATCAGGCCAAAATGGTCGTAAATGTCCATCAGAAATCTGAGACCTGCGCTTGAAGAATTCAAAGGAAAATTTGAACTGCATATTCTGCGGTATTGAAAGTGTGGATCATTCTTGTGAATATGTTTGGAAGGACATGTGTGGAGGAAGCACAAATGTTCTGGATAGCAACCATGTGATAGCATGTGTGGCCAGGCAAACTCACAGCGCTGATATTGAAGAGTCTCTGATGTCTTCTGGTGACATGATAGTGCTACTCTCTGCTTCTCAATACTAGGCATTTTGTCTTCACTTCCCTTTGGGAATTGTGTCATCTCTACTCTCTGCTGTGTCATCTCTGCAGATTATCTCCGTTTGTTGCTAGCACCAGAGTTTACTGAACTGCCTTTTGCTACCATATGCTATATGGTAGAATGAGTGCACAAGAACACCTCTTGGATCCCTCTTCCTGCTCTCTCTACCATCTGATAGACTATAACCACTAATGATCTTCTTCCTAGCAAGAAAGAGCTAAAGCTCTTTCATTCCATATAACTTAAGACTGTGACAGCTATACCCAAACAGACAGACAGGCAGGTTCTAGTTTCTTTGTTTTTTAACAGTTCTCCTGATACTGGGTCAAAGTCTGTGGTTCCAGTTAAACATCTGACATGGGGTTGGAAAATTAATTTTATCACTTGTCAGATCCTTTTTTATTAGTCTGCATCCCCTCAAACCTTTTTTTGAGAATCCAACAAAACCAGCAAGTTCTCCTGATACTGGCTCAAAGTCTGTGGTTCCAATTAAACATCTGACATGGGGTTGGAAAATTAATTTTATCACTTGTCAGATCCTTTTTTATTAGTCTGCATCCCCTCAAACCTTTTTTGAGAATCCAGCAAAACCACCAAGTTGCTGTATGGGGCTGGAGTAATGTTCCTGGATGTCATGCGGATTAACCTGGCTCGGTGGGAGGCCACTAGGTGTCACAGTGGATAGAGCTCTGACCTTGGAGTCAGGAGGACCTAAGTTCAAATCCAGCCTCAGATACTTGACATTTACTAGCTGTGTGACCCTGGGCAAGTCACTTAACCCCAGTTGCCTCACCAAAAAGGGGGCTAGGTGGATGAGGTTGGGGGAGGTGGGAGGGAAAGCATCTCTATCAACCTCTGCCTTAGCTCCTTCATTCTAAATTCCTGCCTTTATTATATACATTTGTGCTAGGGAAAAAAAATGCTATCCACATCAACAAAACAAGGCAATGAAATAAATAACAATGTACTTAAAAATCCTAGGTGAATCAGCTAGGAATATAGTTTTTACTCTGCTGAAATTCTACTCAATCTTATGTATTTTCTGGTTTCAATAGTTTATGTAATAAAGATGGAATGCTGAATTGCACAGAATCATCATAGGTTTCAGTCATTTGGGGGAAACTATTTCTATGGCAGCAAACATCAGTTGAGGTAATTATTTAAGGACAATTTCAATACACTTTTGATGAGCCAATTTACTGAGAAGCCAGTGTTATCATCTTTGGTAGGCTATGCTATCAAGGAGCACCAGAAATGCCCCGTTCCTGTTGCTGCTTCTCTGACAGTAAAAAACTTCACCAGGTGTGGAGAAGGACTAGTCTGATGATATATGGGTGATAGAAGATGTGGAGGACCAAGGTGTACAACACAGTGAGATTTAAGGTTCCTTGCAAAGCTGACTATTTTTATCCATTTTCCCAGTTACTCCTTCTAATTCCACCACCCTGTAATGAAGTCTTAATTTTTTTCAGGTTCTAGGGACCAGATAATTCTGTTTCTCTCCCTAAGCTGTGTCCTTGGATTATGAGTTTTCTATTCTGTGATCCAACTATTCTGGAGAGCAATTTGGAACTATGTCCAAAAGACTATAAAACTGTATATCCCTTTAACCCAGCAATACCACTATTAGGTCTGTATCCCAAAGGGATCAAAGAAAAACAAAAAGGTTCAGAGTAGCTAAGTGGCACAGTGGGTAAAGCATTGACCCTGGAATCAAGAGGGACCTGAGTTCAAATTCACCCTCAGACACTTGACACTTTCTAGCTGTGTGACCCTGGGCAAGTCACTTAACCCTGTTGCCTAACAGAAGAAAAGAAAGAAAAAGGTTCTATATGTACAAAAATATTTCTAGCAGCTCTTTTTGTGATGGTGAAGAATTGGAAATTGAAGGGATGCCCATTAATTGGGGGATGACTGAACAAGTTCTAGCATATGATTGTAATGAAATACTATTGTGCTGTAAGAAATGATGAGCAGGATGCTTTCAGAAAAACCCAGGAAGACTTACATGAACTGATGCAAGATGAAGTGAGCAGAACCAGGAGAACATTGTACATAGTAACAGCAATACTGTATAATGATCAACTATGAATGACTTAGCTTTTCTCAGCAATACAATAATCTAAGACAATTCCAAAGGACTCATAATGAAAAATGTTATCCACCTCCAGAGAAAGAACTGATGGAGTATGTATGCAGATTGAAGTATTTTTTAACTTTATTTTTCTTTTTATTGTCTGTATTTTCTTTTACAACATGGCTAATATGGAAATGCTTTTGCATTTTGCACATGTATAAACTATATCAAATTGCTTGCCTTCTTCTCAAGGGAGGGAGAGGACAGGAACGAAAGAGATAATATGGAACTCAAAATTTTTATAAAAATGAATGTTAGAAAAATTGTGTTTATATGTAATTGAGAAAAAAATTAAATATAAATGTAAAAAAAATTTCCCAGTCTCAAATATTACCTGGCCATGGATCAAATTCCTTTTGGGGACCCTCTTCCTAGCATAATCTGAGTTTGGGAACCTTGCAGTCTCTTTTTCAAGCTTCTTTGGATCTCTGTGTTTCACTTTCCAACAAGTCAAGTGTTTTTTCACCACCTTTTATCTCCCCTGTGATACTGCTTCCTTCCCATAGGAATCCATTGCTGTGTCTTTGTTGGGGGCTTACCCAGACCTGCCTTCTATTGACAGTAACCTGAGTACTAGACATTTTTTCCCTATCAAAGCCAACTAGACTATGAAGTCCTTGAGAGTGAAGACCATGTCTTTACCTAATTTTATCTTCCATAACACCTATGGTAGGAGTAATAGCTAAAGCTAAACCATTCCTCCCATGAAGATTAGTATAGTTTTTTCTTAAAAGATATTGAGACATCCTCAGGCTTGGTTGGCTCGGGAGACCGAGAGCTCAGATTCTTGATGTCACGTAATTATTGCCTGAGTACAAAGCAGCCATGATGACCATGGGGCAATGGGGATAACCATCAGGTGGGCGGAGGAGCAGAATGGGTTTGGAAGTTTGACTGGTTGGATTATGATGATTAATAAACAAGGGAGCTTCCTTGACCTGAATCAAGTCAAGGTGTCCTCAGTGCTCATTCTTGTTGAATGTTCTTTTGCTATGGCTAAGTAGATCTCCTTTTGTTAACTTTTTAATGACCTATAGGTATCTCATTTCGTTCCAATATCAAACCTTAAACTACCAGGCTGAGTCAGGCCTAACCCAGAACTTCATCTTGCACAAGTTCTTGATTAGTATTGCTTGATTTGAAAACTTATCTGCACTGTATCTCAATACTACCAGGCCTTATTTTCCAAAGTGATAGTCAACTAAAAACAATCTTGTAGCCTACTCCATATTAAAATGTTAAAATAGTAATAATAGCTAGCATTTATAGCATTTATATGGTGCTTTAAGGTTTACAAAGAACTTTGATAAATATCATCTCATTTTAACCTCACAACAACCCTGGAAGCTAGTTGCTATTTTTATCAACTCCATTTTACAAATAAGTAAATTGAGGCAGAAGGAAGTCAAGTGACTTGTCCAGGGCCACACAGCTAGTAAATGTCCAAGGCAAGATTTGAATTCAGGTCATCCTAACTCTACCACCTAACTGCCTCATTAACAACAAAAACCTTATGACTCCTTAATTTACCTCTCACAGGAATATTTGTATTTTGAAAGGAAATTCTTTTTTTTTTTTTAATTTTGTTTTTAGGCAACTGGGGTTAAGTGACTTGCCCAGGGTCACACAGCTAGTAAGTGTGAAGTGTTTGGTCTGAAGCTGGATTTGAACTCAGATCCTCCTGACTTTAGGGCTGGTGCTCTATCCACTGCGCCACCTAGCTGCCCCTTGAAAGGAAATTCTTAGAGACATAATACTTGAACCCAAAGGACTGACTATAATGGTAGAATTTCATGCCCTGTGGTGTTCTAGTTAAGGATTTATTTGGAGATGAAGGAAACTTTTCAAGTACTGTTCAAATCCCACTGTATAGTCACTTACAAATAAGATTGTCCTGGTTCATAAAGCCCTATCATAATTCCTTAATATGTTCTTTCTCTCAACCCAAGCTTGATTAAAAAATACATGGAACCCCTGGGGTATCAACAAGTCTCTAGGGGGCTTTTGAGAAGGAGCTTTCTATGATCTTATTTCTTTCTATCAGGAAATGGGAGTGGTGGAAAAGAACAGAGTACTGGCTGCTTTATTCAGTCATTTTTCAGTCATGTCTGACTCTTTATGACCCCATTTGGGGTTTTCTTGGAAAAGATACTGGAGTGGTTTGCCATTTCCTCCTCCAGCTCATTTTGCAGATGAAGGAACTAAGGCAAAATAGAATTAAGTGACTTGCCCAAGGTTACACAGCTAGTAAGTATCTGAGGCCAGATTTGAACTCAGGAAGAGGAATCTTCCTGACTCCAGGCCCGGTCCTCTATCCACTATGCCACCTAATTGCCCTAGGACTGTTGCAACCCCGTCCAAACGTGAGCCTTGATGTGCAAACTAAAGCATCTTCTCTCCATGATGCCAAATCATAGCTGAAGAGTCAAGTCAATCAGCTGTTTGTTTCATTCACATCATCCTAAGTAGCTAGTTTGATTTCTTTTCATTGAATTGACTTTTAAAAATTGAATTGATATAACTTCCCCGGTGGCTCATCTAAACACAGCTAATGTGAAATAGAGAATGGCTTCTCCTGGCAATTCAGTCTGTTGGTCAATTATTTAATGTAATTCATCTTTTCCACTTAATTTTTGGAGAGACAAGTAGTATCAATTTAGTGAGGGAAGTTAACTTTTGATGATGATTGTAAAGGCATTCCTTCCTTCATCCAGAAAGCAGGGCCATTGTTTGACGTTAGTTTGAGAGCAATGATGGAAACATTCCTCCATACAAATAGTGCAAGCACCATTACTGGGTGGGTTAGAGCCAAGAATCTTTGATAATCTTTCAAGGAAAATAAATCTTTTTGACTTTACAAATACTCTTTTTAACAGGCTGGTTGTGTGAATCAAGCACAGTCATGGAAATCAATGATGGCACAAAATGAACACCTCCCTCTTGAAGAAGTCTGGGGCCCTCACGTAAGAAAAATTAGACTTATACATTGCTTATTAAAACTGGATTACTTTGAATTAGAGGATTATAAGATTTCTATGAGATAAGTTTGATAGATAACTAGAGGCATAAATATTTTTAAAGCCATAGTCATACTTGCTTTGCCATTCCACAGGTTATTGGGCCATATTATTATGTTCAAAGGTAACATGGCATCATAGATAGAGAGCCAGACTTGGAATAAGGAAGACTCTATGGTCTAGTCATGTTGGCCCATATGCTGCTCCCTCACAACCTGTCTCCCATTTCTGCATCTTTGTAGTGGCTGCCTGCCATGCCTGGAAGGCCCTCCCTGCTCACTTCTACCTTTGAAAATCCTTGTCTTCCTTTAAGACTCATCTGCCTTCTGCAGATGCCCTTTTCCAGGCCCCCCAGCTGCTTGTGCCCTTCCTTTTGAGTCAACCTTCCCTCTAGTCTGTGTGTACCTATTTATGTATATGCTCTCTCCCCAGTTAGAATGCAAATTCTTTGATGGCAGGACTATATCTGCCTGTATCCCCAGGACTGTGTGCCTGGCACATAGTAAGTACTTATTAAATTTTTGCTGATTAATTGACCTTTAAAGTCCCTTCCAACTCTAAGGTTCTGGCATTCTCTACTTTGTGGAACTCTGCAATATTTCAGGGAACACAGAACATTTTGAAAACACTGAGAAATTATTTCCTGAACTGCAACATTACTCTTCTAGTTTAGATTTAGTAATTCACAGAAATAGCACTTCACAATTGGGCTTCACCATGAACTGACTGGAGCCTTATTGCTTCATGCTCCACACCTGCAGGAACAGAAGTCTTTCCCCCATCCCCAATTCCCCTTTACAAAATAATAAAACATCTATAGCATAACAGGGTTTTTTATGTCAAATTTTATTGTAATCTGTCATTTCATCCAAGTGAGGAACTCCTAAGGATCATAGATCCAGAACTGAAAGAAACTTCCGAGGCTATGTGGCCCGCCTGCCTCATTTTAACATTATAGCACAGCTCTCCAAACTCCCACTCAATCTGGCAGGTCTCCAAAGCTCATATAGGTGACCACTCAGAGGCAGGTAGGTGGCTAGTGGATAGAGTGCTGGGTCTGAAAACCTGAGTTCAAATCCAGCCTCAAACACTTACTGTGTGACCTTGGCCGAGGTACTTAACCTCTGTGTGCCTCAATTCTGTCACCTATAAAATTGAGATAGCACCTACCTTCCAGTGTTTTTGTGAGGATTAAATGAAATAATATTTATAAAGTGCTTAATGCAGTGCCTGGCACATTATAGTCATTAAATAAATGTTTGTTTACTTCCTTCCTTCCTTTCCTGAAGCTGGGAGTAGTTTTCTAGTTTGTTTTTTTCTAGTAATAAAGCTCATGAGCCCCAACTGATATGCTTCCCACTGTGATTATTGCTTGATATCAGTTAGTCAGCCAGACTTAATCAGCTTTTAGAAAGGGATATTTCTTCAGATGATACAGTTGGTACAAAATATCCCCCCTTTAAAGATGTGTTGCACACTCTCCTACCCAAACATAAGAAATTCAGAGAAAAGTAAACTCAAGCTTAGAACATGCATAGGAAAAGGAGGTAACTCAGAGCTCCTGAAATCTTTTTGCTATAGTCCTCAAGATTTTCCTATCAGTTGTAGTATAGCTTTTCTGTCACATTCCTTGTAAAAACTTGAATCTGTTTTCCCCATCCAATCCAATTTGTCCTTGGCTCCTAATATAGACAATGAGGTTAGCTGTGCTAGGGATACTACTAGGGCACCAGTGGGAAGTCCAAAATCCTCAGATCCTCGGAAGTTCAAAAAATCCTCCTCTGGTCATTAGGGAGGGGGGGCAAGGGGGATGGTTATAAAGAGAACGAAGGTTAAATCCAAACCTAAGGAATTCTTCTGCCTCACTGTTCACTCTAATCTATGATTCTTACCATCTCTCTGGTTTTATGCAGACCCCACAGAATATTACTAAGTGCCTTGATCCTGTCACCTAGGGAGATGTCCAAGCCTTGTTCTCATTTAGTGAACTAATATTAGTTCTCACTTAATCAATGTATATCTGAGCATCTATCACTTTCTTTCTGTGGGGTAGAATGACGTATCAGTTGATTTGACTCAATCAGCTACTCTACCTCTCCCACACACATACACACAGAGATAAGGAAATGGAGACCTAAAAATTAAGTGACTTGCCCAAATTTACACAGGTAATAAGAGCAAAGGCAAGCTTTGAACCCAGATCCACTTCACCAAAGTGCCTCCTCCAGATATCCCCAAGGTGTTAACTATGAATTAAGTGGACTTGCTCAGAGTCACACAGGTAGGAAGTGTCATGGTGGAATTTGAATACAGCTCTTTCTGATTCCAAGGTTAACATGTGAGGCAAAGTTGCCTCTATAAGAATGTGGCTGAGATTATTTTCAAATACACAGTGGAAGAAAAAAAACAATATTTTGCTATTCAAGCCACTGCTGTAGAACATATGTTGTATAATATCACACCTTCTGATTTGTTATTGTTTGAAATAAAGGATACTCCCAACATTTGTTTTCCGTAAATGAAGCCCTACCTTCAATAGATACATAAGTAAATGAGACAATATTATTTTTGTAACTACAAGTTTTCATATATAAGATACAACTGTCAGCTCAGATTGTAGTCAAATTCCATACAACAAAGCAACTTTGAGACACCTTCAAGTGCTTCACATGTCATATAGCCTGTCTACATCCTGTCTTATACCATAACGATATGTTTCAGTGGAATGAAGAGGAATTACTATGATTACTCTCTGAATAATTTACTAAGTTAAATGTTTTTTTGTTATGTTTCTATTTCAATAATTCAGAGATGCAGATTGCAACCCCAGTAACAGCTTAGAAGATAGTCTTCAGGAGATTCCCCGGACTAAAAACTCATATTATGTATTAGACTTAACATGTCTAAAAATTATCATTTTCTTCAAACTAGTTTCTTGTATGGGCCTCTCTGATGTTGCCAATGGAACCATCATTTTCCAAATAAAAAAAATCTGAAGGACATCCTTGATATTTCCCCCTCAGCCCATTTTTATTTGGTTGTCAGTTACCAAATCACCTGTTACCAACCAGTCGGTTACCAAATCTATTATCAGTAGCCAACTTCTTGATAATAAGTCTCTCCACACTTAGCTAGTCCAGTCCTCAGACAATTCCATCCATTGCCAAGCCCATACTTGAAGCTTTCCCATCATTGTAGAACTTGTCAGAGCTTTTGCTTCATTGACAAAGTCTTCAGGAGCCCAGGATACTCTCCTCATTACAGTAAGGCAGCAGAATAAGAATATGGTAGGTAAGGGTGAACTGGAGCCAGTTTAAACCAGCTTGCAAGAGCCTGTTGTTAAATTGACAATGTGAGCATTTACATCTTGCAAATTGGCAAATGCCAATTACAAATATGGCCAAAAAATGATAAGTCAGGGCTAGATTTATTATTTTGCTGATTTTTAGATTTAATTTAATTTAATTTCTAGATTTCTAGTTGTTAAGAACATACCCCTGAAGGTAGTGAAAGTTTGTTTACCAAAATCAACAAGTGACCTTGATATTTCTATTTCTTATCTATTTAGAATTATAGACACTGCTTTTCATTTTCCACTGGAAAACCCGGAGATCTAACACAACCATATGAGATCATCAACTTGACCAATAAAAATGAAATAGTTTGGAAAAATCACCATGTTGGCTTTTTTATATTTCGAGCTAAGATTATTGATCCAAACTACAGGTATATGGAGATTTTAGTGTTACAATAATTCGGTAGTTAAAAGCCTTGTAGCAATAATAATAGTAATGGTAAATCATAGGTTTAAAAAGAGTAAGTTATTTTTCTTTAGTATCAGTCAGTTGTCCAAACTAAGAAAGAAAATAGCATCAACGGAGTCAAGCAGATATTTTTAAAGTGAGCAAAGCTATGAAGGCCGAAGAGGAAACTTTGTAAAAAAGAAACTTAGGATGGAGGAGAACTAGGTCATGGAAGAAGGAAGGAAAAAATGGGATCTAGGGTACAGGTGGAGGGGTTTGCTTCAGGGTGGAGAAGCCTAGTTCAAATGTTACCCCCTTCTTGAAACCTTCTCTGTTCCCCACCAGAAATAATGACCTTCCACTCATATGGAAGGGCTCAAGTTTAAGTATATAAGCTGGAGTTACTTTGTAACTCCTAAGGGTTGTTACTTGGGGTTACACTACCAGGCAGCTTAGCTATAATATAGGAAATTAGGTCATTCTCTAATGACCATAGAGAACGGGACCTACAAAGTGAGTTAAACCTCACATTAAATGATTTGGTTGTATTCATATAGATTATATAGAAATTGGATTTTAGGCATGTTTTTCTCATATTAATTTTGATTTTTTTTTTATTCGCAGCTTCTGTAACCTAACAACCACCTTTGCAATTGAGACATTCGGCTTAATTCCTGAGTAAGAAATCAAAGGGAAATAATTGGGAAAATTATTAAAACATACTAGAGCTCCTTACTGAGTACCAAAAGTGAGGGGAAAAGGAAAAAAACAAATCTATTTTTTTAAAATCCTGACTTCTCCAATCCCTATTATCAAGAATATAATTTGCTGTATTGTACAATGAAAAGTAAATAGAAAAAAAAATAGTATCTATTAGAAAAAAAATTTGTGATTTTTAGGTATCAGTAAATACATTCTTTTTCTGAATCACAAATGGCTGATTTGGAGGACTAGTTGGGCTAGGGAATGAACCTTTTCTTTCCCACTGCCAAGCACAGAAACCCTGATTTTCTTTCTCCACCTTGTATTATTCATATTTCATATGCAACAGTCTTCCCCCATACTGTGCTGGCATTGCCTGTTGGTAAAACCAAGGAAACACATAGCTCAGGACTTTTCCCTGATGCTTCAGCCCAAATTCAAGATCACAGGGTCAGAATACCTAAATACCTAAAGTTATGGTAACTTTGCTCCTCCTTCCCCAGGGCAGGTATTCCTTTTTTTTTTTTTTTTTTAATTTTAAACCTCAGTACCCAGAGCTATGAATTCTGATAGTTAGCTCTCCTTTATCCGTATTAATGTAACAGCTCTTCTACATTCAGAAAGTTTGGGAATGGGGAGACTATACTATGTTTCCATGGTTCCATGAGAATGCTGTGTATTCATGGGCTGATTCCTCCATTTAAGGTCTTCTCTGTTAAGAAAGGGTCGGTGACTGGGGCAGCTACATGGCGTAGTAGATAGAGCACTGGCCCTGGAGTCAGGAGGACCTGAGTTTAAATCTGGTCTCAGACTAGACACTTGACACTTACTAGCTGTGTGACCCTGGGCAAATCACTTAACTCCAATTGCCTTGCCAGAAAAAAAGAAAAAGAAAGGATCAGTGATAATGTTACTGCCCAAATGAAGAGAACATTCAAAAATTGGTGTCACAAAGAATATCCCTCTTCCATAATGTGCACCTCAAGATCTGAATAAGGTGGGATATACTGATGTATCATTTAGCCATGGTCATATTCAGATGAAATATTTATAATCTTCAAATCAAATTTTCAAATGGGAAAGGACTTTTGAGATAATCTATTTTACATAAACCTCTCATTTTACTGATGAGAAAACTGAGGCAAAGAGATGTTCAATGAATTTTCAAAGGTCACACAGCTATTACCTTATTTAACTGATAATGTAATCCACTCACAAATTGCTAGGACCTAATGTTGTCACTTTTTATAGTTTTAAATTTGACATTCCCTCAAACCAGAAACCATGTGCCTGCATTTTAAGGAAGTCCCCACAAGATGGGGGTGTTGTTGATTTTAGTAGCCCAAACTATAGTCTACTTTACCCAAGGCAGGTTTTGAATTCAGAGGAATCAACTTTTTTCTAAAGTCAATTGCTAATGAGACAATACAAACTCTTATTATCAAGATGCAACAACTAAACTTTTCAGGAGAGTAATCCTTTCATTGAAAGAATAGAAAATGGGGCAGCTAGGTGGCACAGTGGATAGAGCACTGGCCTTGGAGTCAGGAGGACCTGAGGTCAAATCCGGCCTCAGACACTTGAAACTTAAGTGACCCTGGGCAAGTCACTAAACCCCACTGCCTAGCCAAAAAAAAAATTTTTTAAAAAGAATAGAAAATAAGATCTATATGCAACTAGTACCCTCTCCTATCTATTTTCAATGATTCATTTCATCAAGCATTTATTAAGTATTAGAGATACAAAGAAGAAAGTCAAACAGTCTCTGTCCTCAGAGAATTTACATTCTGCATCTAGGGGTAGGGAAGATGGAACAATACCGGACATGGATATAGCAAATGAAATATGAAATACATACAAAATAGTTTCTGAGGAGAGAGCACTAGCAATTGAGGGCATCGGGTTGGACTTTCTGTAGGAAGTGGCCCCCGGAGCAGATTTTTGAAGGAAATGAGGGATCCTATGAAGTAGAGATGAGCAAGTGCAGTCCAAGCATGACCCTTGCTGCTTCAGGCACATAGTAGGTACTTAATAAAGTTTTCTTTAATTAAACTACCTGAACTGAATTCCATGAATAAAAATACCACATAATTATATTTGGAAGTTTGACGGGCCTTTGGAAATCAAGTCCAACCTCCACACCTGAAGTAAGTCCTAGACAAACTCAGGGATTCATTCATTAACCAGTTTTAAATTTTTATTATTTATTTTTAACATTCATTTTTTGAGTTCTGACTTCTGTCTCTCCCTCAAAACCTCCCTCCAACCCACCCATTGTGAAGACAAGAAATGTGATATCAATTATACATGTAAAATCATACAAAACATACTTCCAAATTAGCTATGTTGCAACAAAAAAATTATCAAGAAAATTAAATAATGCTTCAACTTGTATTCAGTTTTTTCTCTGGAGATGGATGGTATTTTTCATCATGAGTCCTTTGGACTATTGTACTGCTGAGAACAGCTAAGTCATTCACAGTTATTCATTATACAATATTGCTGTTACTGTGTGCAATCCTCTCCTGGTTCTGCTCAGTTCAATTCACATCAGGTCATATAAATCTTCCCAGGTTTTTCCAAAAACATCCTGTTCATTTCTGATAGCACAAGAGTATTTCATCTCGATATTATATTACAACTTGTTCAGCCAATCCTCAATTAATGGGCATCCCCTCAGTTTCCAATTCTTTGCCACTCAAAAAGAGCTCCTATAAATATTTTTGTACATATAGATCCATTTCTTTTTGTTGTTTTGGGATACAGACCTAAAATATTGCTGGGTCAGAGGGTATGCTCAGTTTTATAACCCTTTAGACATAGTTACAAATTGCTCTCCAGGATGGTTGGATCAGTTTACAACTTCAACAATGCATTAATGCCTCAATTTTCCCACATCCTCTCCAACATTTGTCATTTTCCTTTTCTGTCATATTAGCCTTGTTAGTTTTTTATTTAAAATTTTTGCATTAGTGTTCGTTAGAAAAAATGATCTGTAGTTTTCTTTCTCTGTTTTTGCTCCTCCTGGCTTAGGTATCAGGACCATGTTTGTGTCATAAATGGAATATGATAGGACTCCTTCTTTGCCTATTTTTCCAAATAATTTAGGTAGTATTGGAATTAATTGTTTTGGTAAAGTCTTGCTAGAATTCACATCTGGTTCTGGGAGTTTTTTCTTAGGGACCTTATTTATGACTTGTTTAATTTCTTTTTCTAAGGTAGGGTTAAAATATTCTATTTCCTCTCCTGTTAATATGGGCAATTTATAGTTTTGTAAATACTTATCCATTTCATTTAGATTTGCCATCTATAGCACTCATATAGAAATCTTTCAAAATAACATTATTACTATATTTCTTTAAACATTGTATTAATTAAATTATAGAATTCTAAGAGTGTCAAGGAACTTCTACTCTACTTACTACTTTTGTGACCTAGAATGAGTCACTTAATCTCTCTAGACCTCAGTTCCCTCATCTATTAAAACAAAAAAATTGAACTAGACAATCTCTCTTTTAGCTCTAAATCTAAATAGCTTCTCTAGTCAACCAACCTAGTTGTTGTCATTTAGCTCCTGACTGTTCCTATCTCTCTGCTGCCCTCCAGTGACAGTATGTACACATAGCCCGCCATTTAATTCTTTTGAGTCCTGAAAGTAATGGTCCAGGACCAATACCTCCATCAGCAGAGGTTACCAAAGTGGGCAAAACCGCCCCCTGGGGGGCATTGGAATGATCCGAGGGGGTGGTAGTAGCCTCGGGTGTAACTGAGGGGCGTTGAATAAAAATAAGGGGCCGGTGGAAGCATAAGGAAAGAAGATAAGAAAATTTTGAAAAACCGTTTGTACATGTTTCATCTGTTGGGTAACAGAATTAAAGTCCTAGTGATTACATTATTTTCCAAATAAATACACAAAATGCAAGTTATAACTGCTCAGTGGTAAAGTCCACCAACAGGTCTTAACAAGCAAATGTTCGCAGGCCAGCATGTCACGCATTGTCGGGAAGTCCAGCATGCATCGGCAGGAATATGTGCATGTAATGACTTATACGATGCTATATATGACACAATATTGCATTATCAAAATTTCAATGCAGGGAAAAAACCCAAATTTACAATAAAGTATTAAATTAACATACATCATTTTTTAATATTTTATATTTTTTTGAAATGACGCATTTCCAAAAAAAATTGTTAAAGGGTTAAAGAAAGTAGATTTCCAGGGGGGCACTAAATAATTTTTTTTTAAACGGGGCAGTAGAGCCAAATAAGTCTGGGAACTTCTGGTCTACAAAGTTGGGCTCTAAGGTTCCTCTTAAGATTCTATAATTTAATAAGCCAATACAATCAATATTTAAAGAAATATAGTAACAATGTTTGCCCCACAATTACCTCAAAGATTTCTATTTGAGTGCGGAATAGAAGCTCGTCAAGTTCTAGTCAGCATGGAAATAATAGCCCTTTGCTAATTGGCTGGAAATATATTGGTTCATGCTATGTGACACCAAAAGATTCATCTGAAAAATCCTAAACACTTATCTATGGGCTTAGGATATAGTATAGGAGGAAAATTGCTGGACAATGCTCGCAAAGGGATTGTAGGACAAAATGCATGCCCAATAAATTTCATATCCAATATATTTACAGAAGAAATGCAGGATATAAATTAAGCAAGTATAGCTATATGTTCCTCATGTACTATGAGAAAGAAGGAAGGAGAGAGAGACAGACAGACAGGGAGAGAGTGGGGAGAGAGAGAGAGAAAGTTCCTGTCTCAAGTTGTTTTGCCATATTTTCACTTCGGGCAAGGAGGTGGTATGGGGTATAGAGTATTAGGCTTCAAATCAGTAAGACCCAAGTTGAAATCCAGCCTCAGACATTTATTAGCTATGTGACCCTGGACAAGTCATATAACTTCTGTTTACCTCAATTTCCTCAACTACAAAATAGGAATGATAATACACCTATTTCACAGGAGTGTCATAAGAATCAAATGATATAATACTTGTAAAGAATTTAGGACAATACCTGCACATAGTAGGTGCTATATTAATGCTTATTCCTTTCTTCCTAACCACTCCTCCGTAGCTCTTTTGACTTTGCCATACAGGAAATTGGGAGGAAGGCCTTCTCCCCAATCATGATATTTTTATCTAATATTTTTGTCCTACTCTTTCATCAAGGTTCGTTTACTGAGTTGGTGCATTCTACATTTATGTTTAATAAATGTTAAAGCAAATTAAATTTTACAATAAACATATTTTAGATTGTTTGGCTTAATTTTTTCCTGAATGCTTTGCTTTGCATTTCCACTTGTAAGACACTTCTATGTTTTCTCTCATATTTTTACATCATAGTGCAGTTAAATCTATTCAGTTTTGCTAAATGTTTCACCACCTTCTCCAAGAGTAAACAGAAAGATTTCACTGTATTCTCTCTCCTCTCACTAATTTTTAGAAGCTATATTCCCTCATGATAGTACTTTTGACTTTCCCTTTGCCATGCAAGGAATTTGGGGATCCCCCCCAAGCACCTGATATTTTTGAGTCTCTAAACCCATTTTTCCTGGGCTTCCAAAAAGTCATTTTTAAAATAATTTTCATAACTCTGAATCATAACTTTTTTAACTCTTCCATTTTTCCCCTAATAAAAGCCCACATTTTGTCATATTTTCTCTATTTTTTAGTCATGACCTGTGATTCCATCCTTGTGGGAGAACATGGAGTTATGGAAACTCCTTTCACTGATTTTAGATCAGAGGATTCATCTCAACACATCCTTTTAGAGAATTTCTTGAGTCACAAGTTCTAGAACCTCCCCCCCACCCCCCACCAGTCACACAGTTAAGTATCTATCAAAGGCATGGCTATGCTAACCTTCTACCCACTCTATATCATACTATTTCTCATTGCTATATTTTTCACTCTCAACACAAAGGCTAGCCCTGGAGACAGGAGAATCTGCGTTCAGGGTTTGCCACTGACATATTCTGGCTTTGTGCCCCTAGCAAGGTCATTTAACCTCTTAGTGCTCAAGAGAACTCTCCAAAACCTCAAATTACAGTTTGCTGATATGCATGATGATTAGAATTTCTACCTTGAGAAGTCCCCATAGCCATGACATTACAGGTCCAAAAAATTGTATACATCCACAGTTACCTTTTTTTTTTTTTTTTTTTTGGTGAGGCAAATGGGGTTAAGTGACTTGCCCAAAGTCACACAGCTAGTAAGTGTGAAGTGTCTGAGACTGGATTTGAATTCAGGTCCTCCTGACTCCAAGGCCGGAGCTTGTTGAGTCATTTTTCTGCCATGTCTGATTCTTCATAATCCCCATTTGGGGTTTTCTTGGCAAAAATACTGTTTGCCATTTCCTTTTCCAGCTCATTTCATAGATGAGGAAATTAAGGCAAACTGAGGGTTAAGTGACTTGCCCAGAGTCAAACAACTAGGATGAGTCTTCCTGACTCCAGGCCTGGCATTCTATCCCCTGCACCACCTGTCTGCCTATTACTCCTGTAGCAGTGCCTGTTGCCTGATGATTACTCAAGACCAAGTCTGTTATTTCCCTTCCTTGTCTATTCTAGAATTACCTGTTCCAGAAAGTCATCGCCAGCCTTATCTAAACAGCTTATCTATACTTCTCATCCCAGTGACATATTGTGTCTATCTGTATTTAAAGCCCCAACATTGCCTGGTATCCCCTCCAGTAAAACATAAGCTCCTTGAGGGCAGGACTGGTTTTATATATATAATATATATATGTATATATGTGTGTGTGTGTGCATGCACACACACACACACACACACACCTCTAGCACAGCTCTAGTCACTTATAAATGCTGACTGGATTAGTTTGGGTCAGATTGCTACCTGAGTAACTGGCCATTTCCTCTACTCGTTTTCATGCATTGGTAACATTTTAACCCATATCCCAAACAAGATAATCACAAGAACACATCGCAAAGGTTTTCCAATCATGGGGCTAAGATTCTGAAATTTAAAACAAACAAAACCCTGAGTTAAGATTTACAGAAATAAAGAACTAGTAAAAACAAACTCAGGCCTAATAAGTAATTCTTTGTCATTTTGTTTTTCTATTTCAGAACAGATCCGCTTCTGGTTTTTCTCTTCACATTGCCTCTGATATTTGTTGTCTTGATTTGTCTGGTCTTGAGCTACTTCCAGTATTTAAAGTTTTTTCGAAAATTTATTTATGAACCATCTCTAGAATCGAAACGTAAAATGAAATGAAAACATTAGCAAGACCTCAAACCGTATTTATGTTGGGTTTCTTTTTTTTTTTTTTGTAATGAGGGAGGATAGAGAAAAAAAATTATCTTGCCCATAGTAAATAAGTGCATTTAAGAACCAAATTTAGCATGTGAAAGGTGTTCTCTGGGTTACCGCTAAACTTAAAAGTTCTTTCTATTTTTGTGTGATCTGTTTCCTTACATTGCATGTCATTTTAAAAGATTCTGAATATTCCATGCTACATTTCAAATAGAGCTGGGCTTGACTAGCATGGTTACTTTTGTGAAACAAATATAGTAAGTTCTAAAGTCACTGATGCTCCCTGCAGGAATGCTCTGTGAGAAATTGACTGGTCAGATACGTCCGTTTGTAGCACGTACACTTAGGAAACCTGAAATCTGAACTAGTATAAATCTGAGAAGCTGCAAGGATGAAAAATTCACATTTGAAATTTTTCTGTGATCAAGTTTGGAGCTGGTCATGTTTGGTTTTTATTTGTTTTGCACTGAAAGGCAGCAACTATTTGTTTTATTGATGGTTATTAGTTTACAATTTTCAGAAAACATTTAAGGTGTAGCTGATTCTCTATATTAAAAATAAGTCTGTTTTAAACCCTGAAATAAAAAATTGTGTTGCTTCATTGTGTTGTTGTGTTTGTCCTTTGTTCTAGAAGAGGACCATGACATCAGGGAGGTGATGACATGACTTACAATTGACTTTGATATGAATGAGGGAGGGCTGTGCAAGGTCACCAGCCTCACTTTCTCCTCCGGAGCTATCTGGGTCCAGGGGACAAATATTTATCAGGATGACTGAAGATGGCCCAGCAGTTTCCTCATTGATTTGAACATTGAATGATAATAAACCCTTCTTAGCTGCTCCAAACAATTCATATTTTCTAGGAGTTCTGGCACAACGAAAATATCGTGTTTCTTCTGCTTTCATTACTCCAAGAACTACTCATTTATGTTTTCATTTGACAAGTGGTATTTATCAATCTGGAGAAATTTGTATGAAATAATTATCTTCTTATTCTTCTTGTTAAATAATTTATGGAAGATTTTAATGAATTAATAAAATTTCAATTAGTTTTGTTTATGGTCTTCATGGACTTCTGCAAACAGAATGTGCCTAAGCCTTTAATGGGAATATCTTCCACCCCTAGATCAACCCTCCGTGACTTTTGGATAGCTTTCCTGGCATCCTACCTTATTAGGTCACTCTGTGGATCAGACTCCTGACTGATTTTCCCTGGTGTCTTTCTGTCATCTCATTTGATCAATTTGGTCTTCTATCTGGTAACCACGTATTACTGTTTTTCCATTTGGGGAGGGGGGGTTCAAGTCATAAAGGCCCTTGCCATACTCGTAAAGTTTTAATAAAAACATTCTGCCTCCAAATATCACTTTGGACGTGCAATACATGGAAAGGAATCTTTATTAACATAGCTTGCCCAGTGACCATAAAACACTAGTATGGCTATCTTAACAGAATGAAAGAGACAAAAATTGTGCACAAAAAGTGAAGGTATGACTAGAAGTACAAAATGGCTAAAGTCTACGAGCTAGGCGACAGCTGACAAAGCTGCACAAACAGGGACTCCCATCCATCGCCTACTTTTATTCTCAGGTGATTCATTATCTTATGGAGCCCCTATGGAGTCCTCCTCCCAATTCCTTACTCTCACAGATCCCTGAACAAGGCTATTTTTCCCCTCAAGATTCTAGAAGTTCCCTAGGGGGTCGGGGCCAGCTCGGTGGCACAGTGGATAGAGCATCGGCCCTGGATTCAGGAGGACCTGAGTTCAAATTCGGTCTCAGACACATAACACTTACTAGCTGTGTGACCCTGGCAAGTCACTTAACCCCATTGCCTATCCAAAAAAGAAAAAAAAGAAAGAAAGACAGAGTGCTCCTTCTCTAATCTATTAGCTTAAGCCCTTTTTGCATTGTTTTCCCCAATATTCATAACTGCTAATTAATGTCCTAGCTCCATTTAACTAGCTAACAACAATTAGCTTTAACAAATGGATGTTTATTGGGGTAATATAGCAATGACAGAAGTTGCAAAGCATTACCTTCAACACCTAAGGACACACTCTCACCTATACTATTTTAATCCATAGGAAGAGTGGGCTCAAATTTAACCCAGGTGCCACAATGCATTTGAGCCACCAAGTTCACATCTGAATTCAGCATAGCCAGTGGGCAGAGTCATTCCCTTCCTTTAAGGGCCAGGTTTCTTGGATGCAGGGATTAAACCCTAGGTCCCAGTATGTGCTGGTATACTGGATTTAGCTGGCCATTGGGACTGGAATTTGTTCCATCTGCAAAGCAGACCAAGGAGGCAACTGCATATCTCTCCCTCTGAAATGTTGTTTGGTCATCCTCCTCTTAAAACAAAACCCCAGTATACACATCTTTGCTAGGTGAAGACACGTCTTCTGCCTTTTGCGTCTGGGAGCTGCAATATAGACTGAACAAAGCAAGGGAAAGAACTTCTTGCCACTTCTGGTGAGTTTCAGAGCATGACTTGTTCATACGCTTAACTTGCTAGAAACTCTGAGGCTGATAAGAGGTATGAAACTTGAGAGTTATACCAAGACACAAGTAAACTTGAGAAAGTATAGTTTCAGTAAAATGGATTGCCCTATCAGAGTCAATGCATTCAGGTGGACCAAACCTTGGCACAATTTCCTTTAGAAGGATTTTGGCAACAAATGCTGGGAAAGCCTCACACCACCAAGTAAGTTGATCAGCAATAATAAGACAGACCTTATAGCAGACAGATGATATGGATTATGTCATAGAAGCAATAGATATCAACTTAGACTTCAGGAGATAGTGGAAGATAAAAAGGCCTGGCATACTATGGTCCATGGAGTCACAAAGAGTAAGATATAACTGACAACAACAAAAATATCTAAGGATAAAGTGACCTACAGAGAATTAGGGATATCAGACAGAATGTCTGAGCTGCTCTCTGAGTGTTTTTGAGCAAGCTGAATTGATATAGGGAAGAGATCCTCTTTGTTAATGGTGGAAATCAATTCTTCAAAATTGTCCTGAAAAGTAGGGAAATCATCCTTAAGACTAACGTGAACATCTGTCAGCATAAGAAATAGGGAGAGAGAGCCCTCTGGGAGAACCAATGGGAGGACAGGAGATGGTGCATTCCAATTTACACAAGAGATCTCAATTTAGCAAATTATCAGGAGCATCAGGTATCAATAAAAAGGAGTGTTCAACAGAGAGGGTCAATGGTAACCATTTGAGGGGACAATCTAGAAACAGTCTGCTTTTCTCCAGACTCCTACTATCAAGTGAGACCCAATAGGCTTGCAAGATTGGTCTGACGTTTTATTTAGTAGTGTAAGGGGAGCTCCAGTAGCTAGAAAACAATCAGAAAATGTATCACCAACTGGGAAAGTAACCATTGGTTCCTGGGTGTCAGGAAAGGCAGACTGGAATGGCTGGGGCAAGTACTTCAGGATTGGGGTAGATAGAAGCATTTTCCTGATGAGTTTTGGTCCCTGCCCCTCCCCTGCACCTTCATGTGATAGCCTTTCTCTGAGCTTCTCTCTTACAGCTGAAAAGCTTCATCTTTCTACACTCTGCAATCATGTGGCCCTTCCTCTGATAGTAAAAGCATACCAGTAGCTCACGGCTCCCTAACTGGTATATAGGAGCAGGAAATGGAGCTATTTGAGCAGCAGCTAAGAGTGCCTGCAGTTTCAGCTATGAAATTACCTCATCATTTTCCTTTCACTTTTCTCTCTTCATGAACATACTGAGCAATGCTTTTACTGATATTCTTCTCATGCCAACCTAGGCAACTCTTTTGGAAATAATCCCATAGTTAAAGAATGGATTGGCTAACAAAGGCTGAATTAAGGATAGTAACATCCCTTGGATTAATTGGATCCAACCTTGCATACACCACTTAGCATCTTTGCACAGCCTGTCATAAAAGTGGTATTGGACTTGACTCTTCTTGAAAGATCTCTTGAAACTTACTCCAATTATCAGGACAAATGGCACAAGCCTCCATTGCCACAAGTATCATGTTTCTACCCTGCTGCAGCGGAGTATAATGAGCAAGGTTATTAGGGTCTCAGTGTGGGCAAATATGTTGGGTTTTTTTATTTATTTTTTGTTTTCAACATTCACTTCCATAAGATTTTGAGTTTTAAGTTTTCTCCCCCTCTCACTTCTTGCACCTCCCCCCACCCCAGATGGCATACAATCTGATATAGACTCCACATACACATTCATGTTAAGCATATTTTCCCATTAGTCATGAGGTAAAGAACAATTAGAACTAATGGGAGGAATCACGAGAATGAAACAATAAAACAGAACAACAAAGGAAAAGGAGAGCAAAGAGTATGCCTCTATCTGCATTCACATTCCATATTTCTGTCTCTGGGTGTGGATAGCGATTTCCATCATGAATCTTTTGGAGTTGTCCTAGATTCTTGCATTGCTGTGAAGAGCCAAATCTATCAAAGTCAGTCATCCCATAATCTGGCTGTTACTGTGTACAATGTTCTCCTGGTTCTGCTCATTTCACTCTGCATCAGTTCATGTAAGTCTTTCCAAGCTTTTTTGAAGTCTGGCTGCTCATCATTTCTTATAGCACAATAGTATTCCACTACATTCATATCACAATTTGTTGAGCCATTCCCCAATTGATGGACATTCCCTCAACTTCCCATTCTTTGCCACCACAAAAAGAGCTACCATAAATATTTTTGTACGTGTGGGTCCTTTTCCCATTTTTATGATCTCTTTGGGATACAGACCTAGAAGTGCTACTGCTGGGTCAAAGGGTATACACATTTTTATAGCCCTTTTGGGCATAGTTCCAAAATGCTCTCCAAAATGGTTGGATCACTTCACAACTCCACCAACAATGTGTTAGTGTTCCAATTTTCCCACATCTTCTCCAACATTTATCATTGTCCTGTTTTGTCATGTTAACCAA